TCACGAGACTAGATTTGTCCGGCATTAGGGCGGCATCCCTCCTTCCCCTCTCCTGGACCGGATTGGGAGAGGCGGGGTGAGAGCTTGTGGGGCGGGGGCAGGTGTTTGGGGACGACTTCGGCCACGGGCCGGGACTCGCCCCTACGGCGCTGCTCGGTCCAGGGCACAACTTCTGAAAGTCTCCGCTGCGCCGGGGGGCGGGGCTGGTCACGTCCCCTTGGAGCGCGGTCTGGCGTGGCGCAGGCATCTCTCCCCTCTCCTGGGCTGGTGTCGCCCGAAGGGGGGCAGGGAGTTGTGAGGGTAGGCACCTGCGCTGTGGAGTGGCCGCGGGACCTGCGCCGCCAAGTTCAGGGGCCTCCGCGGCTCCCCCGCCCTTCCCGGGGGGCGGGGCAGGTCACGTCCCTTGGGGCGCGGTCTGTCTGGCGCAGGCATCTCTCCCCTCTCCTGGGTTGGTGTCACCAGAAGCGGTGTGGGACCGGCGCTGTGGAGTGGCCGCGGGACCGGAGTGGCCAAGTTCAGGCGCCTCCGCAGCTCCCCCGCCCTTCCCAGGTGGGCGCGGGGGTTCCTGGGCTCTGGGTCCAGGGGTGGGGCTAGAGCGGGCCACCATGGAGCCGCCATTCCGTAAGGGACATCCCTCCTTCCCCTCTCCTGGGCTGGCAAGGCAAGAAGGGGGCTGGGAGGTGTGGGGGTGGGGACCGGCGCTGGGGAGTGGCTACGGGGACCAGCGAAGCCGCGTTCAGGCGCCTCCGGGGCTCCCTGCGGTTCCCAGGTGGACTTTCGTTCCTTCGTTCTGGGCGAGGCGCTCCTGGGCTCGCCGCGGCTCCGGGGCTCTGGGCCCGGGGTGGGGCTGGAGCGGGCCACCATGGAGCCCCCGTGGGGCTAGATTCCTCATCCTTAAGGGACATCCCTCCTTCCCCTCTCCTGGGCAGGCAGGGCAAGGTGAGGTGAGAGTTTATTGGGGTGGGGACCGGTGTTGTGAGACAGTAGCAGGGCCTGGGCATCTGGCTTGTGGCCAGGCTCTGGGCTCAAGGCACTGCTGGGTCCTGACCCAGGAAACATTCTGACCACCTCCGTCTCCGCGCTGTGGGGCCTGGCTCAAGTTTCCTTTGGGCGGGTCTGGGGTTAAGGAGGCATTGCTCCTTCCCCTCCTTTGGGCTCCTGGGGCAGAGAGGTGAGGTGAGTTTGTGGCTGTGGGGGGCTGGGGTTGAAGGACAACAGAAGGGTGGGGGGTGTTGGGTAGAGTAGCTTGCCTGGTGGCTCAAGATGAGGTTGGTGGCACAATGGTCCGGTTTTATGGGGTTGTCAGCATGGCATGGTTCCCAAGTGGCAGTTAGTCGCCTTGACACAGTGGCTCACCTCACTCCAGGCTCTTTTCCAGGCACTTGGAACAGGCACGCTACCTGCCAAAGTAGAGTCACACTAAGGACTCCTGCTGGAAATGGGGATCTCGCGCTCCAAGTTCATTCTCGTCCTCCTGGTTCTTCTGGCGGTGCTGCTGGACTGCCCCTGTGCAGTGGTCTGTCTCCTGGTGCAAGGTGGTGAGTGTGGGGTTGGAACCTTCAATGGGGAGAGGGGAGATGTGGAGGGGAGAGAGGGGTGGGGGGCCTTAAGCTTCCAGAAAGGGATGGAGTACTCAAGGCAGTTGGAGAACATTCAGGTGGTTTGGACCTTCTGCCCCTCCTCAGTGCCCTCCTCAGTGCCCTCCTCAGGCTCATTTCTGCCCTGGCATCAGGGGCAGGTTGCGCCTTTCGGGAAAGAAGAGGGACCGAAAGCATGGGTAGGGAGAACATGTGATGTGGGGCACGTGCTCCAAGGAAGAAGACAGGAGGGAAAGAAGGCGTGGCAAGAAACTGCTGAAGCACACACAGGTCATCCCCAGGTGGCTCTCCTGCCCAGATTCAAGTCTTATTTCTGGGGAACTGGGAGCCCCTGTCCAAAGACCCCAGGCTTCAGAACAGTGGTACTTCGTCAGGGTAGTAACACAGACCATCTCATGTCCCTACTGTACTCACAGGACATTTCCACCCAAATCCTCCATCATCCCCACTTCTCTCAACCCTTAAACCTCCCGGGGCACTCAGCTAGTGGATTATGGACCTGCAGCCCCTCCGAGGCTCACTTCACCAGCCACTTCCCAGCACCAATTACTGCTTCCCTCCACACCACCCAGTTTTATAACCAGTGCCTTCTCATCTGTGAAGTGACCCTTACCCCTTCCTCCACCAAGTGGTACTTTATCCCCCTTGTCTGAGGACCCACCCAGCAAAAGCCTCTGCACCTGGCCCACACACCTGGAACAGGAGGGAGGAGAGGAAGCACATTTTCCCAAAGTAGGGCCCTGGGAAAGGTGGTAAAGAAGGGCACTCTCTCTCTCCCCTTTAGTCCCAAACCCAAAGTTTCTACCCAGTAAGGAGGCAGCAGCATGCAAAGAAAATACATGTAGGCAGCAACTGGAAACTTTTTGTTTAAAGGGCCAAAGTAAATATTTTTATCTTTATAGAGCTCTTAGTGTCTGTCTCTGTAAGCATGGGGCACCTCCATGTGTGTAGTGCAAAAGCAGCCAAAGACAACATGTGAACAATTGGGGACCAGATATGGTCATTGTCCTCGTTTGCTGACCCCAGATATAGGGTATGTAGGGAGTCCCATATGGGTGACCACTCCCGTGGGGAATCATCACCCAGGCTGCCTCTGCTGTGTGTTGAAGAGCCAGAACCATGCCCTGCCCTGCCTGTGGTTGCTGGGTGGAGTGAAAGTGAGAGGATGTGGGCCCCACAGGTAGGAGTCATTGCTTCAGTCCTTTCTGTAGACTGGATTCCTTGGTGGAAGGGGCCATGAGAGACCCTGCATGAAGACACGGGTGTGAGCTTCGGGTGGTGCTGGTATATTTCTTGGGTCAAGATTGAGGCTACCTACCTTTGCATCTCATCTGTTCCATTTCAGTGCCAGAAGATTCACTTCTACCTAAGAGCACTCAGCCTACCTTAGCTAATGATGCTCATGCTCAGCAACTCTGATATCCCATAGCCAGAGGCCTCATCTCCACCAGGCCCTCTTTAAATGGTGTGGATTTCCCTGTGCAAGTGGCATGGCCTTTCTTCTGACCCTCTGAGTCTGTGATATGATTCTCCAATAAGATGCCTTGAAATCCACACAGCAATTTTTCCTAGTACAGATACCTCTGCTATTCCATATCCTGTGGGTCATAGGGCCCTAGTGGCAGGTCCAGCCACACTCATTCATTCAAATATGGTCTGTGGCTTTTTTCAGGCTACAACAGCAGGGTTGAGTAGTTGCAAAGAGACCTGTGGTCTGCACAGACTAAACTATTTAGTAGCTAGCCATTTAGAGAAAGTCTCCAAACCAGACTGTTATTAAATGCTATAGGATATAGATTGTAACCTTCACCCTTTAGGATTTACGGTTGATACTCATCTCCATCATTTTCTCCAGGATAATATACTGTTTTAACATTCTATTTAGAGAAAAGGGAAGACAGTTTGAGAATATTGTATTTAAATTTCCCTACTATGGTAGCCGTCAGCCAACAAGAAATTCATTAACTACAAAGATTTTCTATTTCTGTTACAAATCTGGGAAATGTGAAATGACCCCTGTATGGATCTATGGAGCAATAACACCTCTGTGTAGAAACAGGGCCAGGTGTGTATTTATTACCTGGCCCCATGGATCACTTTAGATCCCCGTGGATGATGTCAACTCACACAAGATAAATTGTGAGTGTGTGAGTAATTCTGCTTCCCAGTGTACACTCACCTGTCAATGGCCATATGGGTCTTAGGGGCAGGCCCGAAGGACGTTTACACTTGCTGAGGGATTCAAAGGTCACTTCTCATTGCAACCTGGCTTCTCCTTCTAGTAATGCGTTCTAGGTCTGAGAAGGGTCCATTCTGGAAATTGGGCAAAGGATGCAGTCTATTGTTGGGAGGCTGCTTTCAGCCTCCTGATTGTTCATCCTTGTGTTTTGCCTTTGTTTTAATGGATTAAATCCAACAGAAAGGTTGGTTGTCCACCTATTTTTCCTCTAGAATCATCCTGTTCTGTGAGCCATAGTCATAGCTCTGTGGGTGAGGCCCTGCTTCCTAATCATTCTGATGATCCTACTTCCTTTGCTCCCAACATAGAGCTCCTGTACCTGTGATTTATTATTTCAACATTTTCCATTCCCATTACTACTGGAAGCCATTTTGGGGAACGCGGAGTCCCACCACCTTTCCTGACCATCAGCAAAGTCATCAGTGGGCTCTTAGAGAATTCTGTGCTCTTCTCATCCGTTCTTTCCTCAGCAGCTCAGTAAACCAGAGTTTAGTTCAGGCTTTCTCATGGAGCATGGTGGATTGCACACTGTGGTGCCTTTTCATATCATATCCCTCCTGGCATATTCACTTCTGTGAGCCACCTGATCCCTCCCTCTGCGACCTGCCCCAGAAGTTGTGGCTTTTCTGTCACATGCACTGGAGCCACACCTTCCTCCAGGCTTGCAAGAGCCACCCTCGCAGCAGGTGCACCATCCCAGGGCTGTGCTGGAGCATGACCCACAGTCGTAAACTCCCCTTCTCCAGCTGGGAGGCCTGTCCACCTCCCCACCCCACTGTCATGCCGCTTCCTCAGGAGCAGCCCTGCATGCTCTCCATGTCCCCGCAGGGCACTGGCTAGTCTCTGGCACCTAGACCTTTTCTCCGTAGCCACCAGGCATGTCCCTGGATGGGTTATGGGCTGACTGATGACGGGTATTGTACAGAGAGGACATATCTGGAGATGTGTGGTTTCTTACCCAGCCCAGGCCTCCTGGTCCTCCTCAAGCAAGGGAGAGGCCAGGCAGGGTCATTCTTGCTCTGCCAGCCCACCCATCAGAGATGGGGGAGGGGGTGTTTTGGGTCCTTTTCTTCCAACCCCAGTTCTCACCAGCATGTTTTGTTACAGATGATCACTATCTTTACTATAATTTCAACGTTTCTTCTAACAAACAACCTTGGTGTATGGCTGAAGTCCAGGTGGATGGAAAGGAAATTTTTTCTTATGATTGTGGCAGTGATGAGGTCATATCTATGAATCTCCTGAGAGAGGAGGTAGTGACCACAGAAACCTGGAAAGAACAGACTGATATGCTGAGGGACGTGGGGAACTTGATCAAACAGCACCTGCCTGACATTAGAGCAGAGAAACACGCAGACAGAGGTAAGTGTGAAAATCCAGGTGCAGAGGCGAGCAGATTGTGAGCTTAGCAATATTTATTGTATTTGTATAAAGAAAAGTGGATGTTGGTCTGCTCCATGCAGCCCAGCAGAAAGGTCAGGGAGAACAAGGCAGGATTAGAAGAGTTCAGAGGAGGGGACACCAGGTGGGGTGATGATTTGACAAGACCGGAGGCTGACGTCTTCCCTACGGGGCCTGTGGGCAGGTCCATTCACCCTGCAGGTCAGGATGATGTGTCAGTGCAACGCCAGGGGAAGCAGCAGTGGATCCTGGGAGTTTGGATGGAACGGACAGAGGTTCCTTCTCTTTGACTCGGAAAGTGGAAAGTATACTGTGGTTCATTCCGGAGGCGAACATCTGAAAGAGAAGTGGGAGAAAGACAAGGACTTGACCAAGTACCTCACAGTTACCTCAAAGGGAGACTGCAGGAAAGGGCTTCAACACTTTGTGCCATGGAAGGAAGAGCTGGGGACAGCAGGTAACAGGGAAGAAGGGATGGAGTGGTTGTTTTTGGAGATAAGATTGACCTGCCCTTGAGGAATGAGTGTGAGTGTATGTGTGCGTGAACATGTGTGTGAATGTGTATGCATGCATGTGTGTATGTGAGTTTTGGAAAAAGTAATGCATCCACAGTGAGTTCCTGGGAGAATAACGACCAGCGGTGGTCCTGCCAACCCTCCATCCTCCCGTCTCTTCCTCACTGCACATAACCGTGCACACTCACCGTGGATTCTTGCTGACCACACATGAGGGCATCGTTCTGTTCTCACACCTGTGGCTTCACTGTTCTGTCCTCCCAGCATCACTTTTCTCCTTCGTCTCACCTGCTCTATGTCTGGAAACCCTTCAACACCACCTTGAATCAGCTCCTGGGGACCTCTCTGCTGCCTTCCTCATGTGTCTCCTCCTCTTCTGTCACAGCAGGAGTGACAGGGTATATGGAACCCTTGCTGCCCCCATTAGCTGTGTGAACTACAAGGGGACAGGGCCCTTCTCCTCTTTGTTCCTCCCCAGGGTCTGTCACAGTGGCTGCCACACGTAGGGGGTAGAAACTGTCTGCACTGTAGGAGAACCTGGGCAGAGGAGGGGAGGAGGGAGTCTCCTCAAATTGGATTTTTTACACAATATCATTCTTGTGTTTCCATTGCAGGGGCACCAATCACAGCCCCAGCCGCAGCCACACCAAGCACAGTCACACCTGAACTATCTGTGATTAAAGTGACAATAATAACTATCAGCGTCATCTTTGCCGTTGTGGTTTTCTTGGTTTTAATTTTCTTCTTACGCCGGTTCCTTCGCAGTAACAGGTACTGAGGGCAGAACTGGGTGGGCAGTGAGGGGCAGGTGGCCTGAGCGAGGACAGAGAAAAGTGGATTCCCAGACCATCCCCTGACCCCTCACTGCACTCTCTCCTCCTGGAAATTAGACCAGGAGACGAACACATTATGTCGCTTCATAGCAGTAACTTGACAGGCTCAGCTGAGACCTGCTGTGTCCTCACTGCGACTGCCAGTGGGAAAGGAGGGCCCCCAAGGCTTGAGGCCTGTTGATGCTGAAGGGGTTCAGTGATTTCAGTGCGGGCTCAGACTCCCTGCTGGGAGAGTCTGTGGGCCCAGTGTGGGTGGGTGGGGCCAGCAGGCTCACAGCGCATGGGCAGTACTCACACTCAGGTGGGAGCAGCATGGCGGCTCCATGTGAGGTGTTCAGGGTCAGGGGAATAGCCAGGGGACTAAGAGGAGAGGGGCCTGGTCTCACCCAGGAAGAGGGGAGGAAGGCCTTTCAGCCCCAACTCACAACTTTGGTTGGCTGTCCTTCCCCGTCCAGGTGTTCACCTGCTGAGCTCCAGGAGTTCACGACTGTGTTTCCATGGAAAGTCGCTTCAGTGACATCAGGTAAGGCAGCGGGCTAACTGTGGGGACTGTGCAGGACAAGGTTAGAGGAACCCAGTTCTCAGTGAACCCCTGGGATTCCTGGCCGAGCCCTGGTGCAGTCAGCTGGCAGCCACAATCCTGCCGACTGCACATCTGGAGCCACAGAGCAGCCTGTGCCTCGGGCAGAGGTGACTGGGGAGCTGGGTGGGGCTGAGCTGCTGGTGGAGTTGGATGCTGACCGCTGACTGGAGCAGGGATGGATGGGGCAGGGCAGGGACAGTCACTGTCAGAGTGGTGTGCTGAGACCAGGGTGAGGAGGGCAGGAGAGGGGAGGGGAAACAAGGATGTTTGTCTGAAACCCTCCCCAGTGGGAGAGGAAGCAGGATGCAGGCCCCTGTCTTTGGACAGGGCTCCTCATGGGGCTTTAGAATCAGGACTTCAGTGCTGGGAGCAGAACAATTCATGTGCACCTTGAGTCCTGAGCCCACCTCTCATTCACGGGACTTGAGGCTGACTGTCATGTGGTAAAGGAGGGAGGACCTAGGGTGGTAGTGAGAATTGATGGGAACTATATGCATCTCAGCGAGGGTGGGGCTTTGAGATGGATGTGATTGGGGTCCATAACCCCAGGGGAACTTATCCCAGGATTTCCTCAGCTACTGCGCCAAACACATGTTTCTTTTCTGATGGCAGAAGAGGCTGCTCAGAAGCTCCAGAGTGTGGTCTAGTTCAACACCTGCTCCTTCTGGTTGGCTGTCCTTCCCTGTCCAGGTGTTCACCTGCTGAGCTCCAGGAGCTGAAGACCTTACAGCAAATGCAGAGACCTCTGGAAGATCCTGAGGACACGGCAGATGCAATACCCATGTCCTTTATTGCTTGAGGGACATGTCACTGCTGCACTTTACCAACATTTGGTTCCATTTTACCTTGGTGCTACGTGTGGGAATTCTTGTACTTAGTCTTCTAACTAAGTGAAGAAGACATCCCACCAAAGAAAATTTTTCATCTTCTCCTTTGGTTGTGGAAAATGAGGTGACCTCTGCATCTGGCTTCAGTTCATGTCTTAGGTGACAGGTGCATGTTGGTGCCCTGTGGGAGAGATCCTCAGGCTTTGAGAAGATGGAGGAAGACCTTCTGTCTGTTCTTGGCCCCACCACAGAACAATCTGGGCAGGGTGGGTTACAGACTGAGCTGCTGTGACAGTTCTGTTCTTAATTAGCAAAAACAAATAAAAATAACTTTGCATTTTTTCAAAACAAATGCGCACACACACACACAAACAAAAAACCAGTGCAAATGAGGCTGAGAGAGATGGAGCCTGCTCTACTTTCAGGCAGCTCCTTTTAAAGGGCCTGTGCATGGACTTCCTTGGACTCACTCCCTCTGAGCTCCAGCACTGGGCAGCAGCTTGAGAGGATCCAGAGGCATATGGGGAGGAAGTGAATTGTCTGGTATCAGGGCAAGAGCTGGGGGGGAGGAGGGAGTGTCACAGCTTTCCCCAGACAGAAGTGCTGCCTGAGGCCATGTTCCTTTGAGGAGCCCTCCAGCCACAGAGCCAGCAGGCAAGCGCCATGTCTGAGATTCCATCATCTGGACTCAAGCTGTGTGCCCTGCCCTAGTGATGCTCTGAGGCCTCCCCTTACCCAACATCCAGGCCCAGCCAAGCTGTTTCCAGTGGCTTTTCCATATGAATGGCCTGTCTTGGCTCCTGCTTCAGATTTATCTAAAATTTCTGAAATAAGCAGCTTCTGGTCTCAGCATGCCTGTACCTCTCATACTTCCCACCCAGTGGCCCCAGGCCCAGCACTAGCAGTAGCCAACCTTGGGTCACAGCTTGGCCTTGCTTGGGCACCTCCAAGCCAAGCATTAGTAACAGTCTGATAAAGTAGCAGATCACTTTGTAGCTCATGATGGGTGGCCCCAGCACAAGACAGGCAGCAGCTGACCTTGGCCTGCATCTCTGGGGAGGCCCCAGATCCAGTGCACCTAGTGGACAGCTTCAGACCACACCAGAGCATGAGTTCCTAACCACCTCCCCGAGCAACACACTCATGGGGCAGTCTCAGTGGGGACCAGAACCCCACTGAATCAAGTACTGCTCTGTGGGGTTGACCCCTGCACAGCTGACCCTCCATGGTGAAGTGGTTGGAGGTCAGTGTTTGGTGGTCCTGGGGCCTGGTGGAGAAGAGGCCTCTGGCCATGGGATACAGAGCTGCCCATCCTGAGCTGGGCTTCAATACACTAAGTTCTTGGGGCACACAGGCCAGGGGTCACAAGACAGATGTGATTTCTCCGGCCCTAAATGATGTTACAGGGAAAAAAGATGCAGAAGCAGGGACTGATCCTGAAACCAGAAATGTTGCCTCGGCAGGACTCTCAGCTCACACCTATGGCTTCCTGCGGTGTCCCTCCTGGCCTGCTTGGGGCAAGGGATCCAGCCTGCAGAAAGGAGAGAGGAGCAGTGACCATACCTGTGGGACCTGTGTCCTCTCACATTCACTCTATAAAGAAGAACCCTGGCCGGTTTGGCTCAGTGGTAGGAGCGTCAGCCTGTGGACAAGAGTCCGGGATTGGTTCCCGCTAGGGGCACGTACCCCTCCCCCCAAAAAAAACATGTTTAAAAAAAAGAGGAAAAAAAAAGCCACAGGCCAAAAAGAGCTACTCACACATAGGAAGGTTTTAGAGGCAGGAGGGTTCATGGGGACAGGTGGAGTGGACAGTGAGACAGTGTGCTGAGCTGGGGGAGCAGAGTGACTCAGGAGGGGAGGTGACCTGAGTCTGGGGAGTGAGTGCCTGGGGCTGCCAGCTCTGACCCCCTCAGAGCCACTGGGAAGGTCCAGGTCCCCAGCAGTGGGCATAGTAGAGGGTCTGCCTGGGAAAGCAGTGTGAGCAGAGTTGGGGCAGGCAGCTGTCTGTGGTTCCTGACCGTTTGTGAACACGCCCTGTCCACCCCAGGACCCCGGGCTGGGAGGGAGCTGCGGGGTGAGGTGGGGCATGAGCAGAACTTCCCGCTCTCACCCCTCCCTCCCATGCCTCCGCCCCTTCCTCCAGCTTCACTTTTCAGCCCAAGTCGCCTCTTTCCGTCCTAAGCCTTGCCTGGGAGGGGACGACCAGCCCGGGCATCGCGCCCAGGAAGAAACGCCCGCGGAGGGAACTGAAGAGGGGCGGCAGTACCATCCCGAGGAAGGTTCCCCAAGCCCCTAGGGCACCAGTCCGGGTCCTGGTCCTGGTGGCCCCGCCCCGCATTTCCGTGGGGACTTCACCGCCAGCCGCGCTCCGCTCCCCCCAGGGACAGTCCAGTAGCAGAAGCGGGACCATGAGCACAGGGCCGAGCTTGGTGCCCACAGACCCTGCAACGGGACCTGGATCCCGAGGGCGACCCAACTGGGGCGCGGAGCCGTGCCCAGGAGACCCGGGGAGGGAATGAACCCCGAGTGTCGACCCCACCCGAGAACCTCCAGGATGCCCTCCCCAGGGCCGTCACCTGCTCCTTAGAGCAAAGTTCCCGAACATCTCAGACCCTTCTCCTCCCGCCTCCAGGCCCCTTCCTCCACCCCATTCTCCTGGCCACCCACCCATTGCTGTCCATCTCCTTCACTGATTTCCCAATTCTTACTTCTTTTCCTAAAAGACCCAAGACTTTCATTCCTGGGAAACGTCCGTGTTAATAAAAGGAGCTGAAGATGTTCCTTAGCTGTCCTGTCATCAGCGATGTGTTTCTAGTAGTTTCTATGCCTGTGGAGCCCAAGGCCTTTTGTTGACTAAAGTGATTCCTCTTAAGAGTAAGGTTGGGGAACTGAGACCTGAGTTTATATTTCCAAGCTTTTCCCTGCAGACAAGAATTGAGAGACCTGCAGTGTGTCCTAGAGACCTCTGATAAGTTCACAAAGCACTTAAGGCTCCAGTTCTGCAAATGGGGTTTTAACTTTTTTGGCCATTTCATCCTCACACTTGCTCATTCATTCAGGAATTCACATGTCAACCAGCATTTAAGTTGTGGGATGTCCTCTGGGGATAATGATCCTAAACCAGAGCAAAACCATGGCCTCTTGGTTTGAGGAACCCTCCTTGTTCAGACGGCCCTCGTCTATGGACTTATTTCCACCAGACAAAGACACTCAGGTGACAGAGAAGTGCCTTGGACTGCAGTGCATGGCCCACCTCTCATCAGGAGACACCCGGACCCAGGACTTCAGGGCAGCACCATCAGGAGACCTGTGGGAGTCCTCAGCCTGGACAAGCTCGGGGCTACTTGCACTGTCTCCTCATTTAATCTTTTCATTTTTGCAGGTGATCTTTCCTGTATTATAATTGTGAAATGTGCAAGGACAGAAAACAGCCTTTCTTTTTGCTTGGATATTTCCACAATTAAAATAAACCCTGGCAATTAAACATGGAAATTGCTGGCATCTCTAAGTCCATACCACTCTTCTACTCATCAATAGAATATGAAGACTGAGCTTTGCCAACCTTCTCCCTGCAGGTGTAGCCACTTCAGGATGATTCACACCAAAGAGCCTCTAACAAATAGAACTTCCCTCCCTCACCCCTCCCTTCAAACAAGTCTCCCTTTTCCAAACTCTCTGTAACCCCCTGAGAGAAGATTTCCCTTTTATACTCTCGGTAACTTTCTTTGCTCCAAAGCATGTTTGACAGGCCAGAGAAGACATGGTAAGGACGCCTCCCTGGCCCATCTGCGGACTGTCTCCTAGAAAAGAAACTGGCTTCTCAAGGAGAAACCCTGGCATCTGTTCATCTTCAACACAATCCCCTCCCTGCCCCTAATTGCCATCCACCCCCTGAAAACCCAAATAACAAGCAACTCACCATATCTTTTGTTGCCCTGTGCCATGTGGCACCTGGCCCTTTCCCTGCCTTTGGGGAAAAGTAATAAACTTCCTCCTCCTTTCCTCCACGTTCTCTCATTGTGAATTCTTTCACAGGCCTGCATCACCAGCCAGACCCTGACCACATGCATGCATGGCAAGATGAAGAAACTAGCACAGGGACATGCCTGAGTGTCACCCAGCTACTTGATTCCTGTGTCTGGAGTGAGAGCCCCATCCATTAAAATAGCTCCTGGGGCCAGTTCCACCAGCTCCCGGGGTCTGGTGTGACTGAGGCAAGTACCTTCCCTCCATCATTCAGACATTACTGGGCATGGGGCTCTCATCCTGTACTATTTGGTCTTTCCCCTGCTCCTGTCCAGGCAATAACAACTGGGTTATACAAGGCATGGCTCCCACCTGGCCTTCCTGCCAGGCCTCTAATGCCAGCCTGTTGCCTTCCTCCTGTTCTCCCAGTCACTTGCCTCCTTAATTCAGCCTTGTGGGTCCAGGGTTTAAACACAGGCGTCTGTGCCCCAGCCCTATGCATGGAGCATCTTGTCACAGAGATCACCAGGATCCACCAAGTCAGTGTCCTGCCCACTGGCATGTGTCTCGTCTTCCAAACCAAACAGCACAGGCCCCTCCTGCATAATGACTCTAGCAAATCAGTCCAGAACCTTCTATAACTTCTATGCCTCTTAACTCACAGAGTTTGTCCTTATCCGATGTCCCTCAGCTTAAGTAGAGAGAGGCCTAATGTAGGCTCCCTCCACTTGCCCACAGCCCTAGGACAAGGGGGACTTATGGTCACTTGGACTCACTGACTTCACTCAGCAAATGTGTGTGAGAGGAGGTCTCAGCCTGTGTTGCTCATTTAATGGGGAGAATTCTCATTGGATGGGGGCAGGTGGGACTCAGGATTCTCTGGTCCTCACCCCAGTCTAGAACCACCCCTCAGCCTTGAGCCACTGGACACCAAACCCCCCCTCTTTTCTGTGCACAACACACACTATCATGATAAGGGTCAGGACGACGATTCATTAGGGGTGGC